TCCGCCGCCGGCCCGGCTCTACAAGGGGGGACTGGTCTACTCAGTCCGGCGGATCCTCGACTCCCGACCCCGTGGTCGTGGGGTCCAGTACCTGGTCGACTGGGAGGGGTACGGCCCAGAGGAACGCTCCTGGGTCCCGCGCTCCTTCATCGTGGACCATTCCCTCATTCGGGACTACGAGGAGTCGGTTGCTAGGACGCCAGGTGGCGTCCGTTGAGGGGGGGGGCATTGTTGTGTGACGGGGTGAGTACTCCCTCTTCTCCACAACATCTTTGTAAGACTGTCATTCCAGGAGAGGGCACTCACCAGCTGTGGGGCATTACCGATCAGCGGCAGCTGCAGATCCTCTAATCAACCGCAGCAGAGCTCTATTTAAGAGGAGAGGGAACCTTAGGGTTGTCACGGTAACCGGTATAGCGGTAAACCCCGGTAAAAAAGTTGACAATAAAAATAACCGTCCAGTTTTTAAAAAACTATATTATCTCGGTGGGTTTACCGTGGCCGCGGTTTCGGCGCGATGACCCTTACCAGCCACCGTCGCTTCAGCTGAAGTTCCCGCGGCGCGCACACGCACTTTTTAGTTTGCAACGGCACCAAAACTTTGAAGCTGAAATAATGGCCGAAGGAGGAGACGGCAGCGCCCAGGACATCCATCAGCCGTCAAAGAAGACTAAATTGGAAGTATGGGCATATTTTGGATTTCTGAAAAACGCTGAGGGACAGTTAATAGAAGACTGCTATCCCGTTTGCAGAACGTGCAGGAAAAAAGTGTCTGCAGAAGGCAGCAACACTTCAAATCTAATGGCACATCTGCGTGACCATCACCCACGTCTCTACAGCCAGTGCAAGGTAAGTTAACATTAGCATTTTAGCTTAAATGCATGACGCGAGGACTTTTGGTTGAGGGAGAATGCAACGAGTCACTATAAACTGCAGCCGCAGCGTCCTCTGCCAGCATTTAAACCGTGTCACGGACACCCTGTTGCTGGATGAAGCATCTTATTTGTTGATGATGAAGAGAAATATACAGTTAGTTCCTTGTCATTGATTTGTTTACTTATTCAATGCCATTTATACTTGAACATTTGGATTTGATTACATAGTGTAGTAGTTATTTTAGTAATTTGTTTAAAGTGGCTATTTATTTTAAATACATATTTTTTTAAGGTTGACTTGTACAGTGCTCAAGTCAAGTGTGGACTGGAGTTTTAGATTTTCATTTTGATAATGAAGAAAACAAGTATATGAGAAAACAAGTGGTGTTTATTTGATTTGTTTACATATTGTTTATGTTTCGAATGTTTGGATTTGTATAATTTAAACCTGCACTGACTACTGTAACATGTTCCAGAAAAATAAGCTATTTGTTCTTTACTTGTGAAAAGTTGCACTTTTGCTAAGGCTTTGTGTTATTTTAGGTTTAATAAACAATGTTAAACCTTTTCAGAACTATTTCAGTTTGTGTAGAACAGGACTATCAATGCTTTCTGAACATATGCAACACCGTTTAAAAAATACCGCGATAATACCGAAAACCGTGATAATTTTGGTCACAATAACCGTGAGGTTAAATTTTCATACCGTGACAACCCTACTTCACATCGCTGGATGATTAACTACTCACGGTAGAATCTTGCCACTCAGTACTAGGTTTTACTTGGTCTCTGCTCAGACATTTGTGCTGTCACAGTTTTTGGATTTATCTGGTTTTTTGTGCTTGGATTTTTTGGTGTTTGGACTCAAGTCTGTTTCATCTTCAGGATACTTGGAATCGCTGAACCACAGATGGATGTACCTACCTGCAAGTCACCATAACCCGCCTGGATTACACACTCAAGGTTCACCTCTCCTCCAGCTTCACTTGCCCTCTGCCGCCATCATCTGGCTCCCTCTCCTGGACGTACCCCGTCACACCGTTTGCCCTCCCTGCTGGCTTTTGGACTCTTGCCGACTACTTCACACTTGGATATCTCCAAGACACTTTTAGTTAGGGTTAATAAATCATTGTTTGAACTTTCTGCCTTTGTCCTGTGATGGTTCTTCATGTCGTGGGTTAAACACCTTCCCAGGAACATGACAGTGTCGCCACCTCAAAAAAAATTGTAACACACGATCGTTTATGTCGGCTCATATCCTTTCATGCTTTCGGTCTTTTATTTATGCCTGATGTGTTTCGCTGCTGCGATGTAGAGCGCATCACCTGTTTCGTCCTCCGGTGAATTCACCTCACCGGTGCGGTCAGCACACACTCCACTATTTTTGCGGTCATAGATCTTTTTGAACTGCAGTTCGGTGGTGGTGGCTGTTCGGCGTCTGGGGTTTAACGCACGTGGGTCCAGTCCGCTGCTGATTACCTTCGACACGGTGGAGCTCCCTGCTCGTGTCCAATTGGGCTTCCTAAGTTTCACGGTGAGGGCGTGCGAGGAACCTCCTCTGAGGTGTTTTAGGTGTCAGGGATAAGGCCATGTGTCCGGTGCCTTTGTGGTGGGGGTGCATTGTCAGAGGTGCGGGGGTGACCATGACGGCAAGAGTTATGATTTACCGCTCCGATGTTGTAACTGTGGTGGGAATCATCAAGCGACATATAGGGGCTGTGTGGCGTATAGGGCGGCGGTGGTGGTGGAGAAGGTTCAGGCTGAGCATAAGATGCCGTATGCTGAGGCAGTGCATCGTATGGGGGTGTGGAATAGTGGTGCGTCCGGGCCTTGTCATGTGCCTTTGTCAACTGGTGGTGACAAAGGCTAAAACCTGTCTAAAACCTCATAGGGTTCACTTAAATGTTGGAGTTAGATTTGGAAAAGACAGCAATCTCTCCCACCATGAGACTATTGTTCCAGCACACTTGATTCATGGTTGAATCACCTGCAGCAGCTCAGGCTCGCAGAAGCCAGTTATCACCTGCTGATTGAAATCAGGTGTGTTGGAGGAGGTGGGGTTAAAACTTTTGTGTTTTTTAGAGTTTGGTTAATTTCCTCTGGGACTCCAGAGTGAGACAATGCTTTGACGTCATTGAACTGGCAGCAGATTGGACCCTATATGTATATATACATACATATATATATATATATATATATGTATGTATATATATATATATATATATATATATATATATATATATATATATATATGTGTGTGTGTGTGTCTGTCTGTCTGTCTGTCTGTCTGTCTGTCTGTATGTATGTATGTGTATATAGATAGATAGATAGATAGATAGATAGATAGATAGATAGATAGATATACCTTCTCACCCCACCAGAGGGTCCAGAGTTTGGGGACTTTGGGATGGCCTCTCAAATCTCTGGTGCTGAGGTCACTGAGGTGGTTAAAAAGCTCATCTGTGGCAAGGCTCCAGGGGTGGATGAGATCCGCCCGGAGTTCCTTAAGGCTCTGGATGTTGTAGGGCTGTGTTGGCTGACAATATTGCGTGGACATCGGGGTCAGTCCCACTGGACTGGCAGACCGGGGTGGAGGTCCCCTTATTTAAAAAGGGGGACCGCAGGGTGTGTTCAAACTATAGGGGGATCACACTCCTGAGCCTTCCTGGTAAGGTCTATTCAGGGGTTCTGGAGAGGAGGGTTCATCGGATTGTTGAACCTCGGATTCACGAGGCGCAGTGTGGTTATCGTCCTGGCCGTGGAACACTGGACCAGCTCTATACCCTTAGGGGGATCCTGGAGGGTGGGTGGGAATTTGCCAAACCAGTGTACATGTGTTTTGTGGATTTGGAGAAGATGTTTGACCGCGTCCTTTGGGGGGCCCTGTGGGGGTACTCCGGGAGTATGGGGTACCAGGCCCTCTGATACGGGCTGTCAGGTCCCTGTATGACTGGTGTCAGAGCTTGGTCCACATTGCCGGCAGTAAGTCGGGCTCGTTCCCAGTGAGAGTTGGACTCCGCCAAGGCTGCCCTTTGTCACCGGTTCTGTTAATAACCTTGATGGACAGGATTTCTAGGCACAGCCAAGGTGTGGAGGGAGGGAATCCGTTTCGGTGGCCTGAGGTTCAGGTTTCTGCTTTTTGCAGATGATGTGGTCCTGTTGGCTTCATCAGAACATGATCTTCAGCTTTTGCTGGAGCGGTTCGCAGCCGAGTGTGAAGCAGCTGGGATGAGAATCAGCTCCTCGAAATCTGAGACCATGGTCTTGATTCGGAAAAGGGTGGAATGCCTTCTCCGAGTCAGGGATGAGGTCCTGCCCCAAGTGGAGGAGTTTAAGTATCTCGGGGTCTTGTTCACGAGCGAGGGAAAACTGGAGCGTGAGATCGATAGGTGGATTGGTGCTGCATCTGCAGTGATGTGAACGTTGTACCGGTCTGTCGTGGTGAAGAGAGAGCTGAGTCAGAAGGCGAAGCTCTCGATTTACCGGTCGATCTACATTCCTACCCTCACCTATGGTCATGAGCTTTGGGTAGTGTTCGAAAGAACGAGATCATGGATACAAGCGGCCGAAATGAGTTTTCTCCGAAGAGTGGCTGGGCTCTGTCCCTTGGAGGTATGGTGAGAAGCTCGGTCATTCGGGAGGGGCTCGGAGTAGACCCGCTGCTCCTCCACATTGAGAGGAGCCAGTTGAGGTGGCTTGGGCATCTGGTCAGGATGCCTCCTGGATGCCTCCCTGGTGAGGTTTTCTGTGCACGTCCAACCGGGAGGAGACCTAAAGGTAGACACAGGACACAGTGGAGGGACTATGTCTCTCACCTGGCCACGGAACGCCTTGGGATTCCCCCGGAGAAGTTGGCCCAAGTGGCTGGGGAGAGGGAAGTCTGGGCCTCTCGCCTTAGGCTAATGCCCCTGCGACCCGACTCCGGATGAGCGAATGAAAATGAATGGATGGATGATGGATCAGAAAAAAATGTATGGACAATAAACTACTATCCGTTCATCATAGCTTTAGTCTCAGAAAAGTTCAGTGAAGCATAACAGTGGTGTATATTTCTGTTTTGTATTTCTAATAGTTTAGTTCTCATTCTCTTTAGCATTAATTCAATAATTTGAACTGTGAGCATTATCACTGTATTTATTACATGTATTAAACAGAGGACAAACACTGAGTGGTGTGTTGCAGAACAAGATGAACCCCTCTTGCTTCTTGCTGTTTTTAATCCAACGCTGCTCTTTCATTCACTCTCTGCTGCAGAACCTGATCACCAGAGGAAACATTGTGAGAGATGACTGAGCTCTATGTTCTCAGACAGATTTAAGCTCTCCTCACCTGCTTCATTTCTTCTGTGACAGCTGATAACAAAAGAAGACCTTAAATTACATGATGGACAAGCTGTAAAATCTTTCAACTGGGTGAGGATTTTTGAACTGACCTGCCCAGTGTGAGGATGACAACACCAATGGGCCATCCACAGACACGCCGTACAGCATCTCAGCCAGCCAGGACACATCAGCTGGGTCGTCGACTAAAACCTCTTCTGGATCATCCACCCACAATTCAGCCTCTGCCATCAGCATTAAGACACAACTCATTAACAAATATCAATGTATTTTGGATTATCTACTAAAGTGAGGACTGCTGCATCGTCTTATTCAATAATTTCTTTGTTAGCTGGCCTGATGAAAAGTGCTCACCCCCCACTTCTTCTTTGTTGGTCCAGGCTGCACCACTGCAGTCTGACATGGAGGATGTGAGGTTGTAGAAGTTGAGTCTTTGCCTTAGACCCGCCATGTCACATATGTAGGCCTCTTTGTGGAAGTTACAAGCTGACGAGACACAAAAAGAGAGAAACACAGGTTTGAAAACTTTAAATGGACATAGCTGGAGAGTTATGAATCCTGACCCTGCATGTCTTCTAGCTGTTGGATGTATCCAGTTGCCTCCCTGGTGTTGATGTGGAAGCGGTGGCTGTCCTTGAGGTGCTTCAGTATGTGTTCAGAGTGGAAGGCAGAGTGAGTGTAATACACCAGCTTAGGGAGATCCAGGGAGCCCACTGCAGCGATTTCAAATCTGCAGCCCTGGAGAATCAGATGAAGGGAGGTGCAAATGTGAAAGAGAACAATTTTGAGATTTAAGAAAAGTTCCAAAAAGCAGCTTCAAATGAGATATTTTCTGACAATTTTCTTGAGCTAATTTTCTATGGTCGACACAAAACATGCTTGTGAATTTTTTTGCTCACAATACTGCTCAAATGGAGCAATTTCAGACGTTTTATTCTTGAAGATTTTAGTACTTTCCATAATGAGCCGTTACAGGACTCAGTCACTTTAAGTAAACAAGCTGGAGCTGGCCAAGCCCACCCCTCCCCCACTCAGGCTGCTGTAAGCTGAGAAGCTCCGTTATCCGGTAGGGGCTCAGAGTAAAGGTGTTGTTCCTCCAGCAGCTGCTGCTCTCTGCTCCAGATGATAGGTTATTTTACTCTAATTTGTGACATCACAAATGCAGACCTTTTGAAACAGCTTGTTTTAGGCATGTAGATCCTAAAACCAAAAACGGACAGAAAATGGCTGGATGGGTTTTTTTCACATTTGGAGTGCTTATAGCAGCATTAGAGACCAGCATGCAGTACAAAATGATGCAAAAGTTTTTCATAATGTGTCCTCTTAAAGCACCAACCTGGTATGTAAAGTAGTCAATGTCGGTCCAGGAAAAATCTAACAAGGATCGCTTTCCCTCCACCTCCTCCTGAACACTCACAGAAGAATTCAAGATAAACTTAGGAGCACTCAGAACAAAAAAGTCAAGTAAAAGAAAAGTAAAGTAACATTTGATGAAACACCTGATAAATATGGATTCCTGTCACTGCCACACCAAGAAGGATGGAAGCCTTCAGCGCCTTTTTCTCCTGAGCATAAAGGTGTGATGAGGTTAAATTACCTACACTGGTACAATGAAATTAAGTCCACTTTAGCGACTCTAAACATGTGATTTCCTTTAATGTCTGTAACCTCTGACCTGTCTCAGTCTGTAGAAGGTCATTGCTCCACCCTGGAGGCTCCAGGCCTCTTTTATAAACTGCAGCATGGCTCGGCTGCGGGACAAACCTCTCAACTCGCTGTGCAACTCTGGACCATGCTGGAGAAGGTAGTCTCTTCCTCTGTGCTTGATCAGCTAGCACAAACACACCTTTAATGTTCATATTAATGTTAGGCCCAGAACAAGCTGCACACGAGGAACCTTACATGTCAGGAGGCACATGCTCAGTGGAAAAAACCCACATAGGAACAATCAGGTGAAATTTTAACTCTGAGAGTTCAACAGTATGCCGACCTTTTTTTCTTCTAAGCATTACTAAAGTTAGAATTCTGAGATTAAAGTCAGATTTCTGAAAAAATAATGGTCAGAATTGTCTTTCTTTTCTTTTTTCCTTTTGAGTGGCCCTACTCCTCTTCCGTACTACGGCAAAACCAAAATCACTTTTGAAAATGTTCTAATTTCTTAAATATAGCTTTTATTGAGCTTTGTGTATTTTCTGAAACGCTGAGTTATAGATTTGTGAAATCTATGTTTTCTTTTGTTTCTGCCTGTTTCAAAGAACTTGAACAGTTTTACATGGTGGTGTGGTGATGTCACCTCACAGCAGTTATTTCATTGATCTAAATCCATGCAGTTAGCACATGTGGACTGTTGGACCCCTCTAATGCATTAAATATAAATCTGTGGTTGTAAATTGACCAGAGATTATCTGTGTGTACTGTGCATACAGGATGTGTATATCCGCTTTGGTTTCATGATGGACTGGTGATCTGTCCAGACATGTCTCCCTGCATAAGAATGTGTCAAATCAGATGAGAGACTTAGTGAATTTATAGTTTTACTAATTTGTCACTCTGATTTGTTTTAGTTCCTCACCCAAGAAGGAAAATAATCCTCTGGGAGAAAGTAACACTCATGCTTCCTCTCTTTTGTCTTGTTGTCGGCCCCATCTCTCTGTTCCAGATCTCCAACTTCGGCTTGGAGTGCAGAAGCTGCCAGCTGGAAGAACAGAGCTTCCTGCTGACAGCTCTGAGAACGCAGCACTTCCTGCCTCAGCTCAGCGAAGTACAGCTGCTGTACTTTGCTGCTCCTGATGGAAGACAGGACACGCACAAGCTTAAAAACCTCATTTTGACTTGTTGACAGGGACAATTCCCAGATAATATGACTACAGGAAACAAACATACAGAATCAGAAGCCCACTTTCCACATAAAAGTGAATCCTCAAAAACAAGATGAATGGGACCTGCAATTCAAATAAAAAAAAGTCATTGAGTTTGTTTAAGTCCTCCTAATAAATCCGGAGAATTGTGTTCAACCACCAACCTTTAAAGATCCTCTGTTCCATCTTTTGCCAAAATATTTGCTGAGCTTTTTCTCCAAATTGAGAAAGAGATATTCGTTATCTTAAAGAAACAAAAAGATAAACCGGTGCAAGTAAATCAAAAACAGGTTGCAGGTTTTCTCTGTTATGCATCACCTCCCTAAACCTCAGCATTCCTCAGTAAATGAAGGAATAACACATCCTCCTGAGCTCCCACATGTACTAACGTACCTCTGAGGACAGCCAGACCAAACACTTGGAGATCACTGACACCAAGCTGGTGCAGCACAGTGTTCATCACCTCCTGGCCTCTGGCTCCAACCTGGAAATCACGCATCATAACACACCCCAACACTGCTAACCATCACTTTGAGGAATAGATGTGCAGTCACAGTCGTTATCAAAGGTGTACACCAGCACAGTAGTCAGCCTCCCTGGGACTGTGTACCAGAGAAGATAGTCTAAACAAATAAAGCTAACTGTGTTTCCATGTTTTTAATTCACGCATCATAATTAAAGTCTAAAACAACACAAAACCAACTCACCCTGACAGTGCAATCCAGGTGCTGTTTGTTGGGTAGAAGGACGCACAGGTGTCGTGTCCATTTTGACTTCATTGTGTTTTAAACTTCCTGCTCAGCTCGGGTCTCCTTATATCCTCCCTCCTCAGTCTCACACATCTCACAGTGGGAGGCTGAGGTAGGAGTGAACATCAAGCTGGTTGATGATCTATAACCATCTGAGGACTGATTCAGAGATGGTGTGGATTAAAGATTTTTGATGTATAAAAGCAATTGGACCATCACATGAGGAGGTTGTGAAACGAGTCACGTTCTAAATTTTGAAAGGTTAAGATGACAAGTCTCAGTCACTCGTTTTCTAAACTACTTATACCTAAGTATGGGTCGTACATGTGTAACACCCACCGATCAGCCCCCAAGATGTTACATAAAGTGAATCTGACCAACCAGCATTAATGTGAGCAATGAAGCACAGAATCGGATTGCTTCAAAAATAGATCATTTATTAAAAATAATTGCAAAAGCTAAAAGTCCATGTGAACGCTCAGTCTGTGCAGGTTGTGCCTACAAAACAGGGCAGGAAGACCAGTTAAAATCCAGGGGGAAGTTGAATTGTCGTAACAAAACCAACATGTATGAAGCCAGGGAGTGACGATGACTTGAGCTTCCCCCAATCGGCCCAGAGCCTCCAGCCGTCCGACTCAGTGCTGGACAGGTGTTTGGTCCTTCTGATCAGTGACTCCTGGTCTCCCCTGTTTGGCACACCTGTGAGCTTCTGCAAGGAGTTCCGTGAATCTTTACCTGCAAAGAGTTCAGCACAGCCAAGTGGTGCTCGCTGCAGAACCACAAAGGCGGAGCTGCACCAGAAGGTGGAGCTGCACCAGAGTCAGCCCCGCCCATTCCATCAGAGTCAGTCCAATTCCTTCCAGTTGTCAGGCTTGATAGCATTCTGGAACCAAAAAGGGTGTTATAGCTAAAAAATGCAAGATTGAGGACGGAGTTGAGAAGTTAATTGAATAGTTTTTGTAAAGGTTCCATATAATTAAAAATCTAACTTTTGGAACTTTTTATCATGTTATACTGTCATTTCCTCATAAGAAACACGCCAAAGCCATTTGTGGCCTCATTCATGCATTTTCCTCCCATCTCAGCTTCAATTTGGTCTCCTCCCCCGAAGTGGGCCTGGTCTTGGTTCTCAAATCTGGATATTCTGTGAATTTTCTGACAAATTATTTCTGAAATGACTTCTACTGAGACACCACCAATAAACTATACATCCCGTCTACAAAAACACACTGGGTAGCACAATTACATGTAACGCCACTTGCATTTTATTAGATGTGGTGGTGTAGTGGTTATGGAGTCAGGTTGGCATGCAAAATTGCGCAGGTTCGCCTCCCTGTAGCAGAAGTATTAAGTACTTTTATTCCCCTTTTCTTCATTTCTAGCTACACTTGCCAGTACTGTGTTTACAACCATTTATTGGTGTACCGTTTAACATATAATGACTAATGTGTTTATTTATTCGTTTATTTAGCCAGTGTGAGTCCATTTGTGAGCAGAGTTTCAACTAAAATATGTGCCCACCCGCTCGTTGAGGTCGGCTGACCTATTGCTGCTGCACACGCCGCGGATGAGGCTCAAATCGCGGGGTGAACGAGCATTTGTCCATGCTGCCCCAAAGCTATGGAACTCATTGCCCATTGGAGTTCGGCAGGCTCCATCTCTGGCGGTTTTTAAATCTCGTTTAAAGACCCACTTTTACACTTTGGCTTTTAGACAGTGACTCGTTTTAGTGTTTTATTGTGTCATTGTTTTAATGTGTTCTTATTATTCATGTTTTCTCTGCTTTTAATTGAGATTTTATCCTTAGTTTTAGCTCCTTGTAATGGGTGTGTTTTGTTTTAGCCTGTGCAGCACTTTGGGCAGCTCCCATGCTGCATTTTAAATGTGCTATATAAATAAACTATGCTATGCTATGCTAAAATGCTGTTTAGGAACGACCAAATTCAAAGAACTTTTAGAGACATAAATATTTTGCTGAAAATAAACATTACAACTAAAATATAAACAAATTAAATGTTTCAGCTGGCTAAATAGATTGCTGCCGACCCACCGATAATCGAACCACCATCAGCTGAGGTTAAAGCAAAACTTTACACCAACAATCTTGCCACTGGACTACCAGAACCAATTCGATAGTGTTACATGCTGTTGTATGTCACCTTTGTTAGAGCGGCTGTGGGCTGATATTCGTTAACAGAAACTTTTTTATTTCGAGATATATTCTAGCTTTGTCATGTAGCAAGTTATATTTATCTTGTTTAACTGGAGCATAGAACATAGCATTAACGACTGTAAACTAGTAACAGCCGTAATTCATGTGGGTCAGGTTAGTTTGCGATGTTGAAAAACAAAAACGGAAGTCAGTGGGCTAGGCTGAGTTTGAATGAATGGGCGGGGCTGACTCTGGTGCAGCTCCACCTTATGGTGCAGCTCCGCCTTTGTAGGTCTGCAGCGAGCACCCTCTCAGCACAGCCGCAATAGATGCAGAGCTATGTGTGCCTTCCCCTTAAGTAGAGCAGTGCCTGATTTCTAATTGAAATCACCTGTGTTGCTGCACCCACACACACACACACACACACACACACACACACACACACACACACACACACACGCACACACACGCACACACACACACACACACACACACACGCACACACACACACACACACACAAACACAGTGTGATACAGCTCAACCAGGTTACATCCCTCCCTTCTTTAATGGTCGTTGTCCTCAACGACCACTCCACGCCAAGCCTCTCGATAACGTGGAGGTGGCACCCCTCTGGTGCTTCAGGCCAACCGTAGTAGCTCGACGACCTCTGGGCTGGTTCCGTGGTTGTCTGGGGGAGAACTTCTAGCTCCTGAACCTGTGCAGACCCAAAACCCTTCCCATGGGGGGTTCCCACTGGGTCAGCCCTCTCCTGGTTTAGTCTCTGGTGCTGGTCTCGGCAAGTTTCCATGGACGACTTTCTCCTGTTCTTCTCTGTTGGGTATTTTATAATTGTATCTTTTTGAGGCCTAAAAGATGCCCAATTTGTGTTATTAACACTTCATGAATCTCTGTGTTTGCCAACTGTGGCTGTTCATGAAAGGTTGAGCAGAGAAGCTTGTTTGCAGTCAAGGATGTTGATTGTGGATTTCCAAGGAAACCTCTCTACCTTTGTAACCTGAGAAGGCCCCGCCTTCTCCATCCTTTGCTAAATAAAACCCCTGGCTAACTGAGAATACATGGGAGTGACGTGGGAAAAGCCTCAGAGGAGGTTTTCCCCTGCGTTAACTCTCCATTATTTTGGGGACTCAGGGTAAAATGTCATCCTCGTTGTCATGAGTGTTTATTTCAGGTTCCAGGGTTATGGAGATTAAATATTACCTAACAGTTTGGTTGGAGAATGCGGGCATGCAGAGCTGGTGAGCTGAAGGAGCTTTGTCCGGAGCAGAGTGGGGGCTGGGGTTTCTGCGGCCAGCTTCTCACATGTTGATTCACGCTCATGGACATTACGAATGATTAATCTACTCTCTCTCTATGTGTGTGTCGTCCTTTAAGGTAATATGGGATAAATGAAAAATTACCTATCATTCTCCATCATGTTTAATGACATAAACAGGCAAGTTGGCATCTGGCTGTTTCATGATCACACATGGCCTCTCTTCCCACCTGTCAGCCAGTTTCCCCTGTCTTCTCAGCCTCATGTTCTGAAGGAAGACTCTATGGCCGGGTTGAAACGATGGTGACTGGGACCTTCTATCAAAATGAGTCTTTTGTTGGGTCATTTCAGTATCTTTCAGCTTCCTTGCCTTATGGACTGTTAATGGGAAACGGGCTTCAACACAAGCAGTTGGTTTCCGCTTGGTCCTAGTGCTCAGTCAGTGTCTATTTAATATATCGTAATGTTGTTTTGGGACGGTAAAATGTGCAGGGGACAAAAATTTACTTTGGAAATAGTGGGAGGGGGAAATGTCCCCCCCAAATCTACGTCCATGAGTTGCACTAAACTGCCACGATAATGAATACACATGTACTGCACTATTAGACACTCATCTACACAGGTTATCAGCAAAACTAAGTTAATTTAGGGGTTACTCGCTCTTTAAACTAAAAGAGGCTGTGGCTTCTTAGGGGTACATGAAATAACTTCTGGGCCTCTTCTGTTTACAGATTTCAGTTCTTTAATCAACTCTGGGGCTTTTTGCATGCAGATGTCGAATTACAAATGCCGACGCTGCAGCTTTAGCTCGCCAGAGACACAACTTCCTAAACTCACTGATTGTAAAAAAACTCACAAGCCCCCAACTGGCTGGGAGTGAAATCTGTTTTAATGTTACCGTCCTTCCAACAGGTCTAAGACTTTAGACAGTTTTATATGATTTCATAATGCTCCTTTAAATTTTACCTGTGAAAACTTAGCACACAATTATAAAGCATAGAAGTTGGGTTTAATACCTAAAGGCACTGCCTACAACCCCATGCAGTTAAGAGTGAATGAATGGATGCCACCACTAGGGGGCAGTTGTATTATATTGACTTCTCTTACGACTCTGGCAAATTATTTCTATTAATTGCGCTTTATCACTGTGCAAAAATGCATGGAGGAAACAAACTTTAGGATCAGTTTCAAGGTGAGAAAATCCCTCAGTCCCACCCAGCCTAGCTTAGATCAGAAATAAGTGGGGTTTTCAAAGCATCATCTGCAACACCTTTTACACAGAAAAACACCTCCAAACATCTGAACTGTCACTCACAAAAGAAGAGGCAAGAACATAGTTAATCACTCATTTATTTAAAAACATCTAATGATGCCAATTGTGCTTTGCTTCAAAAAGCAACAAAAAAAATCCCCAACCTTTTTTAACAGCTGGTGATTCTTCTTAAAGGATTGACAGATTCTGGGTTTTTTCAGTTAAAATCTACATTTTTCTTTTTTGATTCATAAATGAAGTTACAGTTAACATGCACACAATCAGAAACAACAACAAAATCAAAAACCAAGGAACATGTTTAAAGGCAACTGTTCCCCAGCCTTGTTTTCTTCATCTTTACAAATATTATTATGGTGAGGTGGTCATCACATTAGTACCACTGCCTTCCATTAGCTTACCATCACACTGGCCTTTTCGGAGACTCGTGAGTTACATTCAGGGTTCACAGCTGTCTCTGTTCATTTTTTAAAATGCTTTTATTTTGACTACAACACACCGTTCTCAGGTTAAGGTTAGGTTGAAGAGCAAAGGGCAGCCAGAGGGAACGTGCAGCACAGTACATGTACGTGGTTGGGTCCTGGCCAGCTGCAGGGGTCCCATGTTGGGGGGACTTGTAACAGTGAGTGGGCTCAGAAACGCGGTAAAGCTCCAACAACAGTTTCAACAAGGGTTCTCTCTATACGATACATACACACCTGTTCATCGTGCTCGTGTTGCTCTGCTACATACTTTAGATTTGACAAGAGGCTTTAGAAAAAGCAAAAAGGAAATTTACACAATTTAAATAATTAATAACGATGTTTGTTAACACCAGCAGTACTTCAAGCACTGGTAGAAAAAATTAAATTAATCTCTGTATGTACTTATATTACCTGTGTACGAGCAGTAACCCAATAAGGATTCGCATTTGATTTAACCTTTGAAACACTTCCTTCTGTCAGATCTGTACACTCAAGGGTCGAATATTTTACATTCAAGTTAGTTTGAAAAAAGATTTAGAACTAAAAGGAAATGTGTTAAGCAGCCGTGTTTTTCAATCCATCTAAAAAGAAACAAGCAAAATGATCACAAATTATTTACTGGAGTTTAGAAAATTTTCTAGTTTGGTCAAATTAAGCATTTGTGTGTGTGTGTGTGTGTGTGTTACTTCCACTCATCCTTCAGTTTGTTTTTCCTAATCTTTGCATCTCATTCAGGAAACACCAACTTGCCTGCACAAGTTTTTAAAGACTTGACCTGCTGTGCATTTGTTATTTTGACCTTATTGTACACTTTTATGGTTTCCCAACTACCGCAGCACAGCGGTGGATGTTAACCTTAAACACTTCCTCTCCCTGAAAACATGACCTAAGGGTTTGTTGCATTTTAATGCAGGTGGATGTCATAGCTGGTACTACGTACTTTACATGCTGTACAATGTGACATTCATTAAAAGTAGCAGAAGGATCACTGAAAGACTCTTGATGAAAAGTGTAGCTGAATGCACTTAGAGATCAGCGGTTCAAATGCACTTTACTATAACCAGCAAACTCACAAAAAATCTGATTTTTGTTCACGATAAAGTGAATATGTACACTTTAGCTCAGCGATGTCTTAGTCAGATATGACAAACCTGATCACACCGTGGTGCCGATATTTCTACGCACCATGACTAAGACCTATTTACAAGGATTTGCTTTTAAAAACATACATTTCTTGTAACTACATAACATTTTTTACTGTTCGATATTAAAGTGCACTAAAAGAGATTAAAGCAGTTTGTTCTAACTTGCAGAAAAGGTTAACGTAAAAATGCTGCTGTTTACTTGAAAGGCAGCTTTCGTTGTTTGGATTGCTTTAAAAGTGATTGCTTCTTTTTCTAGCCTGCTTGACTTTGCATTTTTACAGTTAAAAATAGTCACGGTTTCGAAAGATTTTCACTTTGTTGGCAACATTCTCGAATAAGATATGGTTCCTGGAGTTACCTCTTCATGGATTATTACATTTTTCAGCCAGCTGACTGAAAAGAAAAGAAAGCAGACTGGCTTTAAGTCTCTCCCGGCTAACAGCTAATAGTTAGCGGCTATTAAGTGAAGGCACTTCCTGGTAAAGCTTTCCACAGAGTAGCACCTGGGATTGTTAGAAGTAACCAGTAGAAGCCCTTTGAACAGAAGGAGCCTGGCGTCTGAAGGGTCACATCAGGGTGAAACCTAAAATGTACTGCAGGAGTTTGTTCCGGTTGGCCTGAGGTAGAAAAGTGCTGCTGAGCTCCAGAATCGTCACCTTGTTTTCCCTCTTCTCCTTCAGCACCTACAGAATCACGAGGAACAAGTTAACAACAGATGTGTGACTGCTAAACATCATGTTAACTTCAATTTACCCGGTGTGTTCTTATAAACATGTTTACCCCAAGCTCTTTGAAGGTCTTCACCGTGTTCTTTACCAGATAATGAGTTGCGCTTTCACCTGAAAACAAGGAGATAAAAGAGATAACTGACTGATTTGGGGAATTGACATGATGCTTCTGAAATAGCAGCATGCATGAGCTGTAGTGTTACCATAAGAAGCCACTCCTCTCTCCGTCCGTGTGAGCAGGAACCTGAAGAGCCTCTGGGTGTATTCAGACTCTGAGATGGGCTGACTCAGGCTGTGCAGAAAGACTGCAGCTCCACTGTAGGCCTCCAACACCGGGCTAAGCAGTCGCTGAAGAAAACCAAAAAACTCCTGGTGTTCCGCAGAAACGCTCACCTGTTTAACAGAAACAAAACCATCGTTCAACTGATCCCATGTGAAGCTGATTGAGTGTTTCAGAAAAGGCAGCTGATCCTAAAACAAGACCTTTAGGTAGCGATCTCTTTGCTCCTCTCCAAAGTCACTGTCCTCATCCTCTTCATCGCTTCTCCAGGAAAGGGGCTCAGAGAACTTTTTAGGCCATGGTTCCTCTGATGGGCTGGAACTCAGTTCCTCCTGATCCTCCTGGTGGACAAAAATAAATTAAATCAATTTATAATTAACCGCACGTCAACTGATGTCATCAATATTTGTTTTCGTCAAAGCGATCTTTTCCTGCAGCGGAGGTCAACTCACTTCTGCTACATAGAGGACACCATACTGGATCAGTCGGGTCACTGCATCGTGGAAAACTTGGTAAACCGTCAGGCAGGGCTGCAGGATGGAGAAAAAACAAAAAAGTGATGCAGATGTCTGCATTTATACAAGGATGAGGAGCATTTAGTTTCCATAGAACTAGAGATGGAACAACTGTAAAGATGTGTTATTTTTATTAGACTGTAACAACAACCTTAAGAAAAAAGTGCTATACACACACACACACACACACACACACACACACACACACACACACACACACACACACACACACACACACACACACACACACACACACACACACACACACACACACACACACACACACACACACACACACACACACACACAGCCTGAAGCGCAGAATACGGAATGCAGAATATCATCAGGGGGACAGATTGAGACAGAATGCCATGCGTCTAGTGTGTGTCCTGTCACTGTGACCCGATTGATCATGCGCCCTGGCTACTTGGTCAAGGGAGATCTCGGTTTGGGTGACTGTTTAGCGCGTGTGACTTTCACCCGGGAGTCTGGGGATCCAATCCTGACTGGACCATTTTTTTATATCCGCCACAGATCTCTCTGAAGAATTCACAACATTGACGGCTTCAGCAAAGCTGTGTCACTCCGTGGATTTTCTCTTATTTGTTTAGCAAAAGCACTTCCTTTCATTTCTCCACCTCACCCACAAGTACCTCAACTTCTGCTTCTGTGAAATTGCGCTTCCTTGATCTGCCTTGATCTACGGTCACCATCATCATTGGCGGAGCGCTGCAACAGCCGGCTTATGTCTATGCATGAGATCCACAAGGCACTTTGCATTGCCTATTTATGGTAGTACGTGGGCGTGGTGAGGGCGGGATGTGACTAAAATGCAGCTGAGAAACATTCTAGATAGTTTCTGATTTATGAAGCAGAGATTGCATGCAGCTGTGTGTACTCCATGTTTGATAGATCACAAACCTACTTGGCGTAAGTACATTTTATTTGCTGAGCTTAAGTACGGTTTTAGTAAGGATTCTACTCAATGTTTGATAAATGAGACCCCTGGACAACATTTTCCATTAAAGGAGCTTTTCTACACTTCTTTTAGAAGATTAAGCCACTGATTCATGGGAAGTTTATCTTTGTCTTTATAATACATTTTATTTGGCTAAAGCTGGTGTTGATGGTAAAAGTTTAGCTTTCCTCAAACTGTAATCTTCTCATTTGCTGAGATTTGTTAACCTGGCAAGCCATCCTATATATGAAAATTCTGCTTAACAAATGACAGTCTAGATGCTGGGCTAGAGATTTGTTTGAGCAGTGCAACATTTACAACGAGCCAAAAAGCTGCAGGACTTACAGGCGCCATGGCCACCTCATTGATAAGGAACTCAGAGAGACCAGCAGCCTTGCGGATGAGTCGCTCCTGGCTGAGGGGGAGACTGTGGGAGTCTTTAGGTGGGTGTCCAGACTCTGACTCCATCAGCAGCTCTCGCTGCAGAGACAGGATGCTGCAGGCTGGAGGGAGAAACAGAAGGTGGAGGAAATTAGGGGCGACTGCCAAAGACCTTTTTTCTAAAAACAAAACATAACTAAGCTTTACATACCAATGATTGCATCAGAGATGAAGACATGGAAAAGGCCGTTGCTGTAGAAGTTGAGCTCAAAAAGTGCTGGCACAGTTTGCGCAGGAGCGATGGTAAACTCCCCGTTACGATTGGAGCTGCTGGTCACGTTGACGCAGTTTTCCAGGAGGTGGAGGGCACGCATGACCACATCCTCAGAGTTCCCCGAAAAGCCCAGGTCAAAGTCCCGCGACAGGATCTCCTCCTTCATGTTAAAGAAGTCCTCCACAAGCTTGGACAGCACCACCCCCTGAAAGAAAGTGGAAGGAGAACGCAAGTTTGGAAATCCAGTAAAAGGTAAAAAAATTAATAAATAAATGTGCAAAAATAGACCAAAATATCAGTATTTAGTAAGAATGACCATGCAGTTACACTGAAGTGCCTGGAGAGGGCAGAAGTATGACACAAACCTTCAGGAGAAGACTTAAGTTTTAGTAAAAAAAAGAAAGATTACCATATATATTTCTATAGCATATATTCATACCACCTATTAGATCTGAATGTAAATGAATAAAAAAGGTGATAAAACAGGAATTAGAGAATAAAGATTACCTGTCTGTGTCGATAGAGCAGCAGACAGGCCACAATGTGGGTCGACATTATTGCTGATGACTTATTAGCCGCTGCAGGGGGATAAAATTTTTTATAAATATAATAAGCAAAACACAACTAGATCGTATTCTAACACATTCATATTTAATTATTTCTAATCTTCTAATAGTAAACATAACATGACAAACTAAAGTTCAGCAAAACCAAACAAAGTTTATAGGATAAAATTAATAAAAATGTAAAAAATAAGGTTGAGATTTAAAACTATGCAGTCGTTGGGAGACAACTACCCTGTTAGTGAGTTCTTGCTAAACACAATAGAGAACAAATTCCCTTTAATAAGAACACATTTCTGACAGAACCTGATTAACAGGCAGAGGCAGATCGACTCGACCGGTCCAGTAGAAATAACAGAAAAAAAAAGAAAAACAAAACATCTGAATTAAGCTTTTGAGTTTATTCAAAAATAAAAAAGTGATCAGAAATAGCTTGTTTTACCAATAACACACAAAGCTGGTAAAATAATTGTGCATCTTAACACCAAGGTTACTAGAGTCCACCTCTTTCAAATGTGAGTTGACGTTAGAGAATAAAAAAATCTGGCCCTGCATTCTTTTCCTTTATTCCTTTCCTCTCTTCTCTCTATTGGCTGAAAATAACATGCCATGTAGCTGGAGGCTCTGTCATTGGCTGAGCCTTAAAAAAACAGACTAGTGCATGAGCAGAATGAGGAGAGAACCAGTTTTGGTCGTGTTACTCTCGGGCAAAGCACCCTACGAGATGTAAAACAGACGGGCTGATGCTGATCTGCTGTGTTTGAGGGTGTGGATGGTGCTTCAGAGGCAGCAGACAGGTGTATCCTTACCCAAAGAAGGAAAAGAAGAGTCCTGAGCTTATGGGAATGTAGATTAACTCGGGTCTAAAGCTTAAAACATGCATATGAATGTTTTTGACAGCTGGTATGAGAATCTTGGTGAGACCACGAGTGTTTCCCCTTAAAGGTGCAGCAGACGAACACAACATGTGAGGTTATGATTTTCTTACTGTAGAGAACATGCTTGGCTAGGTTGTTGATGAGCTGCCGTCTAAAGATCTCTGCAGGAAGCTCTCCATCCATCTGTTCCTCTTCTTGTCCTTCAAACAACTGACAGTCAGGCCTGAAAGAGCCAAAACATCCCCCATAAACCCATTTTCTCTGATATTTAGTAATATTGTGTGTGTGTGTGTGTGTGTGTGTGTGTGTGCGTGCGTGCGTGCGTGCGTGTGTTGATTGGATGTACATCTACACCAGTTTAACTTTTGTAATCGGTCTAATGCTAAACTGTCACCAGCTAACTGACCGTTTTAAATCCTGATCCTGAGACCAAAAAATGGTAAAAAATAAATAAATAATAAATAACAATAAAGTCTGCATTGGTATAGCGCCTTCTTAGGATTCTACAACCCCCCCAAGACGCTTCACAACACAATCAGTCATTCATCCATTCACACACACATTCACACACTAGTGGGGATGAGCTACGATGTAGCTACAGCTGCCCAGGATTAAGTGTCTTGCCCAAGGACACAACAGCAGCATTCTCTGGTCAGAGCCGGGATCGTACCTGCAACCTTCCGATTACTGGAAAACACATTCTGCCTCCTGAGCTACTGCTGTCCCAAAGACTGATTCTTCTAGGTCCACTACTTTTAGGAACGTTCCGTTCTGATATCGAAAGTAATTCGATATCGGCCCAAAAACAGTATCGGATTATATTGGTCTGCATCAAAAATCTCCGACATTAGCGGTCCATTAAGGTTCACATTTTTGAAACATATGGTTAACCCTCTGGAGGCAGTATTGCAGATTTGCAATGTTAAAACCTGCAATGCATTTTTAAAGTCAGAAGTACCCCTGAAGGACATAGCTGTTCATCCTTTTATCAAAATTTATTTTGAGCCTGAGATGGTTAAAAAAAGATATATTACATTTTTTTCATACTTACTGTTATTGGCTCTTGTTCTCCGATTGAGTAATATCACTTGCTCAGGCCTTTCATACATTCCACACTACAATATAGGTAGAAGTATGAATGATTTGTGCTGATATCATATCAGATTGATATCGGTATCGGTCAATACTGAAAGCTGCAATATTGTTATCGTATCAGAAGTGAAAAAGTTGTATCGGGACATCCCTAACTACTTTAAACCATTTTTCTGGTGTTTTACATTCCCTCCACTAAAACACAGCCCTTCGTTTGCATACCTGTGCTGTAGAGCACTGGATTCCAATCTGGGGTCCGTGAACCCCCCCAAGGGGGGCCCGCAAGCTTGGAGGGAGTTCCAAAAGTTTTGTGTGTGCTGAGGTTTCCAAGACTATATTTGTAAAAATTACATTTCTAAAATCCCCAAAACACACCCAATAGTATAAGCAAAGCTCTGTATAACAGTTATAACTCTGCATGTCTCTGCAAGTTTTTAATTAATTACTTATGTGTGCATGTGGGTAGGAGTTGTGGTTTGGGGTCCTGGCTTGTCTTGGACACAGGCAAGGGGGTCCTCGAGGAAAAAAAGGTTGGGCACCAGTGCTGTTGAGCATGTGGGAATGTGACGAGGAAACAAAGGTTTAAACACATTTGAAGCAAAGAGGAGAAAAATAAAAGAAAATAAAAGAAGGAAATAATATTTTATGAGTGTGTGTAAATGACCCCTCCCTGGGCTGCCACCTTACCGTGGTGGAGGGGTTTGAGTGTCTCAGTGATAGGAGCTATGTTGTCTGAGGCTTTCTGCCTCTGGTAGGGTCACCCATGGTAAACAGGTCTTAGGTGAGGGATCAGACAAAGAGCACCCCGAAGACCTCTTATGATGAATTAAATAAATAGAAACCGTGTTCCCTCGCCCGGACATGGGTCACCGGGGCCCCCATCTGGAGCCAGGCCTGGAGACGGGGCACGTTGGCGAGCGCCTGGTGGCCGGGCTTTCACCCATGGAGCCCGGCCGGGCACAGCCCGAAGAGGAAACGTGGGTCCCCCTTCCCATGGGCTCACCACTTGTGGGAGGAGCAAACGGGGTCGGGTGCAGTGTGTGACAGGTGGCAGTCGAGGGCGGGGACCTTGGCGGTCTGATCCTCGGCTACAGAAGCTGGCTTTTGGCACATGGAATGTCTGGTGGGGAAGGAGCCTGAGTTGGTGTGTGAGATTGAGAGGTTCAGACTAGATATAGTCGGACTCACCTCAACGCATGGCTCTGCCAGAGCCATGTGTCTGAATGGACCCTGCTCCGTGACTCCATTGTTGAGGCGGCTGACCGGAGCTGTGGTCGCAGGATCGTCGGTGCCTGTCGTGGTGGCAACCCCCGAACCTGCTGGCGGACACCAGCGGTTAGGGATGCTGTCAAGCTGAAGAAAGAGTCCTATCAGGTATTTTTGGCCTGTGGGACTCCAGAGGCAGCTGACGGGTGCTGGCAGTCCAAGTGGAACACGACTCGGGTGGTCGCCAAGGCAAAAACGCAGGCATGGGAGGAGTTTGGTGAGACCATGGAGCAAGACTTCCGTACGGCTTCAAGGAGATTCTGGTCCACAATCCGGCGCCTCGGGGAGGGGGGGGGGGGGGGGGGGGGGAGGAGGTGGTTGCAATGCGCTACCAACACTATCTATAGTGGGACAGTGTGCTGCTGACCTCTACTCAGGAACTTGTGGATCAGTGGGCAGAATACTTCTAAGACCTCCTCAATCCCACCGACACGTCTTCTAGTGAGGAAGCAGAGTCTGGGGACTTTGGGTTGGCCTCTCAAATCTCTGGTGCTGAGGTCACTGAGGTGGTTAAAAAGCTCCTCAGTGGCAAGGCTCCAGGGGTGGAAGAGATCCGCCCGGAGTTCCTTGAGGTTCTGGATGTTGTGGGGCTATGTTAGCTGACGCGGCTCTGCAATATCGAGTGGGCATCGAGGGCAGTCCCACTGGACTGGCAGACCGGGGTGGTGGTCCCCTTAAGGGGGACCGCAGGGTGTGTTCCAACTACAGAGGGATCACAATTCTGAGCCTTCCTGGTAAGGTCTATTCAGGGGTTCTGAAGAGGAGGGTCCATCGGATTGTTGAACCTCAGATTCAGGAGGAGCAATGTGGTTTTCGTCCTGGCCGTGGAACACTGGACCAGCTCTATACCCTTAGGGGGATCCTGGAGGGTGCATGGGAATTTGCCTAACCAGTCTACATGTGTTTTGTGGATTTGGAGAAGGCGTTTGACCACGTCCCTCGGGGGGCCCTGTGGGGGGTACTCTGGGAGTATGGGGTACCAGGCCCTCTGATACAGGGTGTTAGGCCCCTGTATGACCGGGGTCAGAGCTTGGTCCACATTGCCGGCAGTAAGTCGGGCTCGATCCCAGTGAGAGTTGGACTCTGCCAAGGCTGCCCTTTGTCACCGATTCTGTTCATAACCTTTATGGACAGGATTTCTAGGCACAGCCAAGGTGTGGAGGGAGGGAATCCGTTTCGGTGGCCTGAGGTTCAGGTCTCTGCTTTTTGCAGATGATGTGGTCCTGTTGGCTTCATCAGAACGTGATCTTCAGCTTTCACTGGAGCGGTTCGCAGCCGAGTGTGACGCAGCTGGGATGAGAATCAGCTCCTCTAAATCTGAGACCATGGTCTTGATTCAGAAAAGGGTAGAATGCCTTCTCCGGGTCAGAGATGAGGTCCTGTCCCAAGTGGAGGAGTTTAAGTATCTCGGGGTCTTGTTCACGAGTGAGGGAAAACTGGAGCGTGAGATTGATAGGCGGATTGGTGCTGAATCTGCAATGATGCGGGTGTTGTACAGGTCTGTCGTGGTGAAGAGAGAGCTGAGTCAGAAGGCGAAGCTCTTGATTTACCGGTCGATCTACATTCCTACCCTCACCTATGGTCATGAGCTTTGGGTAGTGACCAAAAGAACAAGATCATGGATACAAGTGGCCGAAATGAGTTTTCTCCGAAGAGTGGCTGGGCTCTCCCTTACAGACAGGGTGAGAAGCTCGGTCATTCGGGAGGGGCTCGGAGTAGACCCGCTGCTCCTCCACATCAAGAGGAGCCAGTTGAGGTGGCTCGGGCATCTGGTCAGGATGCCTCTTAGACGCCTCCCTGGTGAGGTTTTCTGGGCACGTCCAACTGGGAGGAGACCTAAAGGTAGACCCAGGACTAGAGCCCTGCATTGAAGCCCTAGGCCCTCGGGTCGGCCCGGCCCGACGGCCCGAGGGCCGGGCTTCGGGCCAACAACTGTGCAATTACCTCGGACACGGGCCGGGCCGGGCCCCTTTATTTTTAATCGAAATCATTTAAAAAATTAAAACACTTACACACAGCCCCTGCGCGGGACTGTTTTCTTCATCCCGCTCCTGCCCGCTCCCCCTAAATTTCTGACCATTACAGCCTGCAACTGCAACGTGTGTGTTACACTCCCGCCCGCACCTGCAGCGTGCATGTCTACTCCCGCCCGCACCTGCACCGTGCATGTCTACTCCCGCCCGCAACCGCAAAACTCGGAGAAATTATTACCTCACAATAAGAGATGTATTGAGTTTGCGTCCTCAACATGTCATTTTATAGGTTATCCGCTTTCACCGCTGCGCTCCGTTTCAATCAGGCTGTACAGCAGGATTCCCCCTCGTAGCGATATTTTCTCTAACTCTGATTGCTTCATGCTATAAACCGTTGGAAAGCTGCTTTTATGTACTTTTAGGAACCGTTGGAATTATTTGAATCTGATCAGCCATTCAAAAGTTATAAAACGGAGCATTTTGGATGACAAACTCGCACGTCTCTGAATCTGTGTTGTGATTCGGTGCGCTCAAGACAGGGAATCCCGGTGGCTACCGTAATGTATTGTATGTGCACGGAAAGCCCCATTTTTAATCTTTTCAGCACTTTTGGAATTTTAATGATATTTTGAACTAGAGCAGGGATCGGCAACCCGCAGCTCTTCCATCCATCTGATGCGGCTCTCACGTGCTTGTAAAATAATGAATGGATATTTAAATAAAATGCTTTATATTTTACTGCATTAATTTTATATCTGCAAGTCAATTCTATGTGAAGATTGTCTGCGTAAACCTGAACAGTTCCAACCCGGTCTTACTGTGAGACCGTGTTGGGTCACGCTTGTGCGTAATCATAAGCGCTTATGAGCTGAAGAGGATGTGAGATTCTGGGCTTCTCCTCAGACGGCTCCTGGATGTGTCGCACATTGGAGACAGGAACAAGCGCTATTCAGCCAAAGTTTCATAATCAGGGAACATTTTCTAAGTGACAAGTCTCTCTGAGAGACAGGGTTTGGAAAACACTCGCTTCAGTGGGAGGAACCTTCCCGCATGCGCTTCTGCGACGCTCGGATCCTGCACGTCTTTTAACACATTGGTCAGGATTGACGCACTTTGTTTTCATTTAGTTGGTTAAAAAAAAAGTAGGGCTTGGGCTCGGGCCGGGCCAGAGAATCCTGAAAACCTTTTCGGGCCGGGTCGGGCTGGGGCTCCACCCCTTCGGGCCGGGCCGGACACGGGCTCAGATTTTAGGCCCGTGCAGGGCTCTACCCAGGACACAGTGGAGGGACTATGTCTCTCACCTGGCCAGGGAACACCTTGGGATTCCCCGGAGGAGCTGGCCCAAGTGGCTGGGGAGAGGGAAGTCTGGGCCTCTCGCCTTAGGCTACTGCCCCCGTGACCCGACTCCGGATAAGCGGATGAAAATGGATGGATGGATGGATGGATGGATGTAAATGAATGTGTAAAAGGAAATAAGCAAAAGCCAGTTAAAAATTCTAAATATGAAAAGAAATTCTACTTTTTTTTCAGATTAAGTTTGATGTATTAATAGAATAGTGAGATTATATGATCCTTCAAAACAACTCACACTAAATTGATTGCTGTAAAACAAAAGTATAAAAGGAATGAGGCCTGCTCTGTATCTCATGTTTATGTTCTAATCTGAGTGTAAGCAATCCCAGTTTATGTTAACAAATCCTAGTTTTAATAACGAACTTGGGTTTCTTTACCCTGGACCTGTTTCTTTCTCGTTTCCCAACTCCAGGCCTGGCATTGACAAGTCTCAATACACTGTCACACTCATGCATGACAAAACACGCGAGCGTTAACTTGGACTCTCAGCTTTTCATTACCAAAGGGTGAAATGTTTTTCCAAGAGCACTTTTGAGACAGTGTTTGTGACCTGAGTCAAGCTGGGAGAGACTGCATATGTCTTTACAAAGAAAATGTACAACTGGCTTAGTTTTATTCAGGAGGAACCGCTCTGAACTGAAGTAACCTCTGCTGGCGGCGAATCAAGCGCTGATCTCAGATGTCAAGCGACAAACGCTGCTGTGAAGCAGCAGGAAGCAGAAACTGAGTTTGAACATGAAGGTTGTTTTATCTAAGGCTGAGGGACATCTGCTTTGTGCATAAACACTGGACAGATGAAGAAAACACGCCCGCTGAGAATGGAAAGTGTGTGTGTGTGTGTGTGTGTGTGTGTGTGTGTGTGTGTGTGTGTGTGTGTGTGTGTGTGTACTTACTGTGAAGAGATGATGATAGGAATCAAGGCGTTTTCCATAGACACAGGTGGTGGAATATGACGACTCCTCTGGGAGTCCAGGTACTCCTAGATGCAGAAATATAAAAGCATGACAGAAGCAGCTTTTCTAGGAATGCTTATAAATGTAAAATGTTTTTGTATGAAACCTTTTGGGCTGTAATGTAATCTCACCTTTAGGGAGAAAGGCTGATTGAAATCGACTCGAACACAACCGTAGTTCTTCCTCAGCATCCTAAACACGCCACATGCTATTCCCCACCAGCTCTCGTTCTTCTTGGGTTTGCCCTGAGCAACAGAAGGAGCAACACCATTCAAATTTAGATATTATTATCGTTTCAGAATAAACTGTTATTCAAGCCAGCAAAATTGATTATTGTAAAAAAACAAAAACAAAAAACCATCCCTTAAAATCTCCCTAGAACTCACAGATGCAGAAACAGAAACATTCATTTGTGGGATGCTTTGTCTCTGGCCTAAATAAGAAAAAAGACAAAAGGACTTGGTTGCCAAAACAGAAAAAAAACAGATATGATCCATGAGCCTACCAGCTGCTCACTATTGTAGTTCCCCTCGATGATGCGGTCATACGAGATGCCAACTGGCACCACCAGAACATCTCCAATGGCCCCCGTCCACAGGGTGTCAACCACGATGGACAGCATGCCTGCACGTGCTGGAAATGGCTTTCCACTGCGGGACCGAGTCCCCTCCAGGAAGACCTCTAAAAACTGCTGCTGACGCAACAATTCTTCTGTGTACTGCAGGAGGTTTGAAACACAAACGCTGATGTGAGAAAGGTGGGACAAAGGTGACTCAAAAAAGTTCAAAAGACTCAGAAGCTAAAGACTTCAGGTGAAAGGCTTTGACTTTGAAAAAAGCACCAGATTGACTCCACGGCCATTTGGAACTGAACTGAATTAAAGATGAAGGTTATTAGTGAGAGCTGGAATCCAACACTTTGACCCTGCTGCACTTTGCACGGACCCGGTCTCACGTGTGGGCAGCCATGCTGTGCAATAATATCCTCCTGGGTTTAGTACATACACAGCTGCCTCCTGCTATACTGACACTTTAGGAAGTCAATGTCTTTCCCTAAATATACCACAGACAGAGTTCAAGCTGCACAGAGAACAAACCTCCAGCTCCTGGAGATGCACGAGACCTTATTAATCTGCCTGTGAAGTCGTTGTTCTTATTGCATTTCTGTAAAAGATGTGCAATTTCATCTGTTATCGGTTTAACATTGCTCAAATGCAGCAGCTAAATTGTGAGCTCCAATTATCCATGGTAGAGTCAAACATGACCTTGTGATAGATTAACAGTAGCTCATCATTTCATACCGAGGCTCATGTGTCTGCCTGATAGCTCTTATCTCAGAGACAGAAACACAAAGTCGGTTCAGTGACACTGCACAAAGTCTAGTGTTGCCTTCATTATTTGTGCCATCAATACAAAAACTATCATTAACTAAAGATCCAGACTGGGTAAAGCAGTACTGCAAGTTACACATAATGATCCCCTTCACTCTGACACACAAAGGCTCAGGTTGTTATGTTAAAACCTGCTCCTGCCGTCATAGCTACCTTGACGTGATGACAGATCGCCCTTGTTCTCTCTAGTCCTGACTTAAGCACACTACATACATACATCCTTTATGTGCCTGATGAACAGGCCATGTTAGATGTTGCTTTCTTTAAATGTTAAACCCTTTATTGTAACTAACCACCTTATGTTGTCTCCCTTTGTGGTGCAGTTATGAGCCAGGATATAACTAATAGGGGCTTGTCCGGGATACGTCCCCAGGACATTTCACATCCCACTCAAGCCCTCATTTTGTTGCAGTCTGGCTTAAAACAGTAACAAAAGAGGAGGCAACACAAAATGGTGACTTAAAAAAAAGTTTTACTTAAAAAAATAGTAATCGAACAGTCAGGTAGATGCCTAGTGGTTAAGTCATTATGGCATTAAAATCATTTTGATTTTTCAGGAATGTTTTGAAAAGCTTCAAATGCCAAAACAAAAATGTACACTAGGTTTCCATCACAATTGCTCACAGAGTTTTAAATAAAACTGACTTGTGGAACCAAATCAATTAGATGAGTAAACAAATGAATTTAGGTTTGGACTAATTTGCCTATTGTAATGTCTTATGCAAGCTACTGATGCAAAAAGTCCTTGGTGAAACATCTCTGTCAGCTGAAAAGTTTGAAAGGGGTTACTAGGGATGCACCATATATTAGCATCAATATCGGTATCGGCCAATGTTAGTCATTTTTTTACATATCGGTATTGGCCTAATAAATAAAACTGGGCCGATATTAACAACCAATATTTTTTCCATCTTGTTTCCATTTGTTCATCTGTTTCAGAGGGTGACAGGGGTGATGTGGATTTGTTTAGTCATGTTACAGTGATTGTAATCATTTCAGAAGAGTAAATGTGTGTGGTGTGTACTTAATAACGTAATTCAGCTTTAGTAAGTACAATTCTATATCAAATCTGCTGATTTTAGAAGCATTAACGTCAGTATATCGGTTTCAGCAAATATTGGTTATCGGCCATAACAGCGATATTAAAATCGGATATCGGTATCAGCCCAAAAATGTCATATCGGTGCATCATTAGGGGTTATGTTGTGACTTTTTTCAAGTTGTAATGGATCTACGACTGATACAAAACATGCTTATGATGTTCTTCACATAAAGAGATTTCAGCAGTTTAATTCTTGACATTTTCAGTATCTTCCAAAATGAGCTGTTTCAGGGCTCTGTCACTTTTAGAAATCAAGCTGGAGCTGGCCACACCCACCCATCCCCACTCAGGCTGCTACTAGCTGAGATGATCCAAAATCCGGATTGGGTTTGGAGTGCAGCGTAGTGGTTCTATTCTAATTTCCCTGTTTGTGATGGCACAAACGAGGAATTTCTGAAACTGCTCATTTATGGACATAATTCTTAATACCAAATATTGAAAGAAGAAGGATGGATTTTTTTCTCTATGTTTGAAGTGTTAATAGAGGCAGTAGAGATGCATATGGCATCACATAAGGAAGCAAAAGGTGAGTTTTGTATCATCTATCCCCTTTAACCCTCTGGAGGCAGGCGTTGCAGATTTGCAACGTTAAAATCTACCTACCTGGTTACTCCACATATGTATTTCATGAGCATTTTTTAACTCAGAAGTACCCCTGAATGACTTAGTTGTTCTTCCTTTTATCAAAACTTATTTTGAGCCTGAGAGGGTTAACTTGCATGTTAGATGTTATTATTTCTAAATGTACCATTTTCTGGGATCATGAAAAAAGTAAAACCACAGATGCCTGAAAATAGCATCTTGAGTTAACCAAAGCTACAGCAGTCACTGGAGTCAGAACATGTAAACAGATCAGGTGAAACACAATCCTTAAGTCAGGGCCAATGGCAGCAGCAGCAGCGTTGACAGGAGTCTACCCGATGCTACAGCTAGGAGTGTCCAGTTCACGACAGGAAATGAGCTGCAGATCTTATTCAAATACAAACTTTGGTTGACTGCAAACATTACTGAACTGTGCTGTTTAAACAACTTGTAGATACAGATAGTAGGAAAGGGCCAGCTGAAGATTATATAACCAAAGGCTTTTTAGTCTCTTGTCGCTCCAGACTGAAAAAAGCAAACAGGGAGAGAAAGAAGCACCAACAGCTTTAGCTGCAAAAAGATAAATAAATTCTTACTGCATGAAGAAGAGATCTGTACAAAACGTCTTTCTTTCCATCCCCGGTCTCCTCCATTCTGCGCCGTATGAAAAATCCTCCAAGTTTACGGATCACAGTACTGAAAATAAAATGAGTTTCAGTGTTTTGACTCAGTTTGAGCACTGAAATATTTCTGAGGTCTCTTTTGTAAGCATATCAGTATCAGAACCACGAATAATACGTAAAGCAGGTCAGAATAAAGCAACAAGATTACGATCTGTTGCAGGACTGGTTTATTTGCTACTGAAATTCCTCCTAAAACTAATTGTTTTACACACAGAGAGCAGAAGTCCACCTGCTTGCAGGATCAAACTTTACCTGAGGATCGGGATGCTGAGGTTGTTTCCCGCTGCAATGTGGGGAGCTTTGATGTTGTGACAGAACAGGATCAATGTGATGAGAAGGTAGTCGATGTGGGATTTATGAACAGGGAGGAAGACCATGGGCAGATTTTGCTGCAAAGACAAAACATATCATCCTAAACCTGAAAGCACACGCAGACATCTTTTTGTGACTTTTATGGTGGAAGGTTATGATATTGCAGCTTCATTCATTGTTTTGTAAAGGTTTTGCAGTTGTTGCTGACCTCTGTAGCCGCCTTCTTGACCATTTCCAACTGTCCTTTGTGGATCTGGATGCTCCAAAAAAAACCATTAAACAGCCTCAGGAGCACCCATCCTGTCAGCCTGAACAAAAAGCATGGAGGACAGTAAGACCTAGCATCCCTAGAAGGACATATGATAATAGTAGTTATGCTGATCTAATCTTAACATGGACATCAACTCATTATTTCACTACATTTACAGTGACCTCTAGTGTAAATTAATGCCTTTTGAGTCGTTCAGAGGAAACAATGCTCTGGTGCTCCTGTTTCAGTAACTAGAAGTGAGTCGGAGGAGAGGAAAGCAACAGGGTTTAGAGTCTTAATAATTATTCAGGATATTTGGACATCTCTCCTTTGATTGGCTAACAGCAATGCAGCTTTTCTGCTGACTCCATGTGCTCTTCAATGCTGATGTTTTATCTCCACGAACAAGCCTGGAGGAATTCTGCGGGCTTGTGGAGTTGCTAATGCTAACATTTAGCTTCTACTTGTCGAGACGTTCTCTGCTGTTTCCTGAACACTAAAGCAACAGCAGCCTTCCTCGTTGTGAGTCAAGGTGGGTGAGTTCATCAATGTCAATTTACAGTGTGACATAGATCTGTGTGGCTTTTTCTAACATGCATGTTTCCTTGTCTATTTTCCATCGGCGGGACGCTGGAAAGGGAAGATGAAGACTATTTCCACTTTTAGCCTGCAAGTCAAAGTCAGAGCGGTTGACCATATTTAAAAAAAAAGGTATGATACGTGTGTCAGTGAACATAATTTAAGGCTTTAAATGAAGGCAATGCCTTTTATCTACAATCGCATCAAGATCTAGGTCAAAGTGGTTCATGAACTACACAGGCACTATTATAAATCTTCTGTGATTTAGCTTTAGCCTAATAACTCCTAGATGCTGTTACACACCAAATGATGCCAATACCTGATAAAGGCTGGTGAGATGTTGGCCACCATCTCCTGGAGGAAAGCTCTGGCCTTCTGCTTCACTTTACTGACAGCCTTGAGCTCCTGGACAGGTAGGCTCTGTGCAGCATCCAGATCAGCAGCGACACTCCCAATAGCATCCTCCACCCTGTCATCAACAGTAGCAGCAGAGTTCTGACCCTTGATCATAGTCATTAAAGCATCAAGGAGGTGCTTTCCTCTGGTAGAAATAGCCTTGCTCCTTATTTAATCTTGCTCATAATGAACTCATACTGTTTAATAAGAATCACACAGATAAAACTCCAAATCTTTTACTGTTAGGTTCCAACCTGCTGCTGTTGAGCACATTGTCCACCACGTTCCTGGTGAACATGTCCTTGTGGACATCTCTCTCCATAACAAACAGCACATAGCTCAGTCGCCGTGCCAACCAGCCCCGTTGTCTGCAAGATTAAACAAACACACACACGCACACACACACACACACACACACACACACACACACACACACACACACACACACACACACACACACACACACACACACACACACACACACACACACACACACACACACACACACACACTCTGTTAATTATAAACACTTGACAAAAATAATCCACATTTTCATTTAGATGAATATGTAAAAAAATATATGATATCAACTAGGGATGTCCCGATCGGGTTTTTCTGCCCTCAAGTCCGAGTCATTTGATTTTGAGAATCTGCCGATACAGAGTCCCGATCCGATACTTTTGATACATAAAAAAAAAAAAATAAGAAAAGGAAGAAATCAATTTCCCTCTGGGATTAATAAAGTATCTTTGTATTGAATTGAAACAGTTCCAGAATATTTCTTATTTTTTATTTAATTACCTTTTTATTTTTTAACAACAGGTCACTTCTGTGAGGTAGCTTGAACAATCAAGTAATAAATAACAAATTCTTCACTTTTGGACTTTATTGCAAATATACAAACAGATAGCACTTCAACTTAAAATACCTGGCAGGGGTCTATTTTACCTCGGCCCCCAAAATGCTTAGATACGTCCCTGGGTATGGGACAGAGCTTTGAAGATGATCTGAATTATATCAACTATATAAATACTACATGATGATAAATTATTGCTTTATACAGGTACAAATGTGTAGTGGGATCAATCTACCTACATTTTATTTTTTAAGAACTTTGTTTTGTTTTCTTGTTTTTTATTTTCCTATCTTCCTGTCTGTCTCTGATATATATACATACACACATGGTAACATCTCATAGAGATGTTTAATCTCATTTCCAAGAGTGACCTGGTCCAAGAGAGCAGCATAAAAAGCACAAAGAATTTTACACACACACAAAAATAAAACACCACATCCAGAAGATAAAAAGTAGTACAAAAATTTCAAGTTAATCAGATTCAGTGATTATGGCAGCTCCATCCTCCCAGACAGCCATTTTCACAGTCCATCAAAAGTCACACACACACACACACACACACACACACACACACACACACACACACACACACACACACACACACACACACACACACACACACACACACACACACACACACACACACACACACACACACACACACACACACACACACACACACACACACACACACACACACACACACACACACACTGTGTTCAACCAATACTAACGAAATCCTGCTAGTCCCAGGAATTCTGTCTACATGTAAATACAGCTCAGATTATAATCTACATAAGACTCATCTCCTCGTTTCTACAAGGCTTTTGCTGAAATTTGACAAAATAGTTTTTCTTAATGGGAAGAAACTTATTGTGTAATTTTTCTTTACAACTACAGAAAGGGACTTGCTAGAACATAATGATGCAGTTTTACATGGTCTGGACACTCCTCACACTTCTTAGTTATCTCTATGATGGTAATCTGGAGCAGTAACACCTAATCTCCAACATAAATGAGCAAGCCTTCATAAGATTTGTGAAGACTCCAAGCAGCGTTTCTCTGAGAGTGTGACATTAACTCACCAGGACATCGATAGACGTGACACGTCAGGTTTAGTTGTAAATCCTAAGGTCTCTACTGTTTCTACGGATCTGCACAAACGACATGTTTTTGTCGTTGCGGTTAAAGTTTAACGATGTTCTGCTTGGTGGTGGTGTCCACTGACAAACACGTTACATTATTAATCCATCTGCCTTTCCTCTGTTTCACAGATCAGATCTTTGGACTTAAAGCCATTCATTAGACACATGTTGTTTGGAGGTTCAGCTCCAGCCAGAACCGTACTGAAGAGGATTCATGCTAAACGTTTTCTTTTTGCTCGGTGTAAGAGTCATCAGACATCAAAGCAACACATCAACCAGCTCAGTTGTATCAGAAACTCTAAGTGTTCCTCTTTTCAGAGCTGAATTTAAACGAGGGTGAATATGATATGAAACACGAGCACAGGAAACAGCTTTAGCGTTGCTTACCGAGTGTGGGTCTCATTGATGTAGATGACGTTACGCAGGCCCAGGGAGGGAATACTGGAGTTGAACAGCTGATCCTGCAGCAAAACATAAACAAACAACAAAGGTTCAAGCATGAACATAGATTCATTAAGATCTGGCATTTGTTGCTAGTATTTCAACAGTCTGATTCCTTCATACTGGTCTTGACACCGATAAAACTCAATGGTTCTTACTGTAATTTGAAGGGATGTTCCACCCCTAAGTGAAATGTAGTCTGTTGCCATATTCCCAAGAGTTAGACAAGTGGGAATAATCATTTTGTAACCAGTCCAGTCATTCTCCTGATCTGGCATTATTCTGTTAGCTTTAGCTCAGCATTAACAATGTAAGTGAATGGTAACATAGCATTTTGTGTTCAAATGCCATGAAAATTATGCAATAATGATCCTAATTGTTCTCGGTGACTTCAGTAATCTTATCGACTGCAGATGAAAATAAGCAACATGAAGGAATTACAGGAGCTGGTTTAGACATGGGACTACATTACGACAAAGCACCGCGGTAAAGCCTGATTTATGCTTCTCCATCAGCTCCAAAAGGGAACAGCACACATGCAACGACAGAGACGTTTGGCTCTCGGACTTCTCCATCACCCGAGGAGCGTTGCAATGCAATTCCCTGCCAGGACAACAGAGGGCTTAGAGCTGCTCTGTGGTATCATGCCACCATTACACTCATGTATCCGGTCCACAATAGTGTACTTAATAAAGTGTTTATATATTTCAGAGACTTTATAACAGAAGAATTTGTCCCTCATTCTCCTCCACCTCTTCAGGCGGTCACCACCTCTAAACCCACGTTTCCCGTCATTTCCGTCATGAATAAAATGTTTGCTCCATACTTTCTACTCCATCAGTCATGGGTGAATCAATGTTCATGGTTTCTGTCTTTTCCCTATGATGCGTTCTTCAATCTGGTCCGTGTCCACCTTAAGATGTTTTTACTTTACGATGGGGCAATGGAGGTGCCGTTGACATATTTACAGGAAGCGGCATCCTGACCAATCACAAGCTTGCAGTCTTTCACTTTCGATTAATATTTTAAAAGTCGGGAACATTCCCATCACCCTCAGTGAGCCTGTCGAAGAGCCCTTGCGCCGACGCATGATGGCGTTGCGTGTCTTTGTACCGACACAGACGGAGAAGTATAAATTAGGCTGAAACTTCCAGAAGCAAAGACACGACGCAGCAGCATGACGTCTGGCAGACATCGTCACCTACAGCTTTATTGTATATATTGTATTGACAACACTTCACCCTAATGACAGTAAACGGTGAGTTTGGAGGCCGCTGTGTCGTGTCCTTGCACCTTACAGTGGTGTTTTGTCAAAATGTAGTCCCATCTAAATCTAAATCGGCTCCTTTAAATCCACGTATGTTATTTTCATTTGATTACTGAAGTCACTGTGAAAAGTTAGGATTATTATTGAGTAATTCTCAGGATTTTGTTTTTCACAGAAAATGTGCTAGCTTTTACCACTCACTTGCATTGTTTATGCTAAGCTAAAGCTAACAGAATACTGCCAGATCAGGAGAATGACTAGGCTGGTTACAAAATGCGTTTTCCCATTTATCTAAATCTGGGGCATGTGGCAACAGACTTTTAACTCAGGATATCCCTTTAACTCTTCTTGCTTTAGCAAAATAAAACAGGAGATGGGATTGAGGCTTGTCTTGATTTTCTAAACATGAATATAACCATTACCGGTATAAAACAAACTGTGACAAATATATTATGCATCCCAAAAGAAAATACGTAATAAAACTGTTTTCACTGATAATAGGAATACTCCGCACTCTCTTTGATTTTTAAACAGCAACATGAAACAGAGTAAGTGACTAGTGGGCATGTTCAGGTCTGAGCTAAGTAGCTGTGGAGTAACTTTACCCAGCTCTGTGGAGTACAGGAGTGGCAGCATCGGCCCACAAAGGGCCTCTTTCTGTTCAACAGGCCCTCCTTCCACGTCCTGGCAACCGAACGCAGCACAGAGGGGCTGGTGCTCCGGTCCTTTAAAAACACACATACACACACACATGCATACACACTTAGGATAAAAGAATAATGGCTGTTCAAAGGAGCAAAGGCAGACTAAAACCAGACCAACAGTCTTTGATCTGACATGTGCAGTTCTGACTCTACCTTACAGAGGTGTGAGAACTCATTGGACTTACGGAGTCTTCGTTGGGATGTTTCCAGCGGTTACACCACTGCTCTCCATTGTTGACCTGCAGCAACAAGCCATCTGACAGCTCCATATTCACCGCCACCCTTTGCTCCAATTCCCGATCTCACACACACCTGCTGCTGGCGAGCTGGTGACACACACACACACACACACACACACACACACACACACACACACACACACACACACACAAATAACAGGCTGTAACTTTTAAACCAAGCTGCCTGCAAACATCGGTTTAATACAGACTTAAGTTAGAGGATATTCAGGTACCTACTGTGATTTTTACTGTGGAGTTTGGCTTTAAGCACTGAGGACACTTTACCAGGCCAATTTAAGACCTGTTGTGGACAGAGACTGATTTGGCTCTCCTTGATTTTTATCAGATTAACTTTCATTTTAGAATTGTTCTTCTTCCTTAATCCCACTAAGAACTCATAAGCTGATTTAACACACAGCCAAGTTAGAGCAAAGATGCATAAATGGTTACCAAGGCTGTTCAAATGTCTCAAATGTACAAAATTTATTTAAAAAATTAAGGTTATTTATAGTACTTGACTTGAACAAGTGTAAACTTTTGCCCCAAACGATGTCATTATTAAAGTAAGAACTTCTATCAAAGCCAAGAGCAGGCGCTTTCAAAATAAGAGTCTATGCGACAAAACCCACACATGCATGTTCTCCACATGCAACTACTACACAGGAAGGCTGCAAACAGGATTTGAACCTGAACCCTACTTGCTGTGAGGGAACAACCAGTTCAGTGGCCTAGTGGTATGAGTGGCCGCGTGGAGACTGGGAGATTGTGGGTTCAAACCCACGGTTGGGTCATACCAAACACTAGGAAAAAATGGGACCGCCCAATGCCTCCCCGCCTGACACTCAGCATTAAGGGGTTGGATTTAAGGTTTAAACCACCAAATGGTCCCCGAGCACGACTGTGTCTGCAGCTCACTGCTCCCCCAGGGGATTGGTCAAATGTGGAGAACAAATTTCACACACCAGTCACCTAATGGGACTTAAACTTTAACCACGCCACCCATATCTTGATAAGGATTACAGGATGCCTTAAAATGTTAATAATCATGTAAATTTTTTCAATTAATGCCAGTCTGTGCAGAAATAAGAGCAGGTTGCTACTGAGCAGGGGTGTGTTAAAATAATTTATAAATCAGATGTACAGAATAAAGATCCCAATGGTGGAACAGTCCCAGTCTCCTTGTCATCTCCTTTTGTTTTGTTTTTTTGTCAGTTTCTGGGCAAATGCTTTACTCGTTCCCATAATGCTGTTGGCAGAAACTTGTCTCGAGGACCACATCAATCAAGTGTAACACTCATCATAACCTAAGCTCAAATAACAGGTTTCTTCTCCCTGAATCTGGTTACAAGGTCAGGCATTTCCAAATGAGTAGTGCTTCACTGGAGATCAGTGCTTAGATCATGCTTACACGCCCAAACAGATGAGCGATACGTTTATTGTTTTTGTGTTATGTTCTGACTCTTGTTTAGTCATTTGGAGATTTAAAGCAAGGACACATCTCAGATATAATTTGATGCAATGTCAAAAGGTTAAAATGTGTTGAGAAATGATGGATTAGCTCGCCAGAGGTCAGACTGTTCTGACTTCATCAAGAAAACCCAACCATCCGAAAGAGCATGCATGTGGACAATAAGAGGGATCAGTTACTACAGTGAGCGACTTTATGAATGAATGTGCTGTCACTGCTTGTTGTAAGGGGTGTGTGCCATGAGAGGAATATTCCTGTTAGTAAATCTGACAGGAGGGACACATTTTCAGACTAAAACAGGCCATCTTTACTATTATCTATCAGCAGATTAACTGTACTTTGAGCTGGAGAGAGAGACAATTGGATTTACAGTGACTTGACCATATTATTACTGTAGAAGCTAAACTGTCAAGCTGAGAAATGCATTAGTTGCATCATTTTTTGTTAAGAAATAGGTCACATATCTCAACCATATTTTGTTGATTTTCCCTTAGATCTCACTGGAAGACATTTAAGCAGTTCACAGCCGATAGCTGAATGCACCGTCTGTACACATGTCTGGGTTAATCCGCCCCATACGGTCCAACCGGTCTGCAGTAACCAGGTCAAACTGAAGAGGTCTTTGTGACAGATGGGCAGAGCAGATCAGCAGACAACAATAGCATAAATAAAGTTGTCTGGCTTCGGTTTTCTTTGCTAAAAGCATCCAGCACAGCAGGTTGATGCTGAAGGACTCCGGTATTAGCACTTGTTCTGCCATGCCCTCAGCTGATTCCCTTACCTTCTGCAGGGCAATGCTCCTGATATACACAGCAAATATCTGGCTTTAAAGCTCTGTGCTGGATTAGCCGAAACGAGATAGCTAAAAGGCTAATTGAATTATGTCAGTGGGGCAGAGAAGGGAAAATATATATATTTTTAAAAGACGTGTTTTAGTTAACACTTTATCCAAATTAATTTTTAAATAAAACGGAAATCTCTGCATAACCGGGTCAACAACGTGGCAAGTATTGTTTCTATAACAACACAGGAGCCGCACTGGGCTCAACCCGGTGTTGTAGCCCCTAGCATCATGCTAGCTGACTAGGACGAAATCTCACTTACCTTCAATAAAAAGTCGCACTGGCTCATATCTAAAAAATCAAAAAAAAAATGCTCGTCGACAAAATAAACCAGAAAACCGACAAGTGGTTTAGGTCCTTTGACATCCGTGGACAAGCTCCACTCTCCTGTAATGAGCGGACTGCTTTGCCTTTGAAAGAGAGAGAAATGTGTGACAAGCACAAGCGGCGATAACACAGCCGTGTGTGCTGTAGAGTACAGCCCTTTGCAGTTCTACCGTCAGCCAGCAGGGAGCAGCACTGTGCCACTGAAACCATCTGCATTAAAAACGAGCAGACGCGTCATTCACGCCGTTTCATGTAAGAGCCTTCGCCATATTGGACAGGGAGGAAGGTTGTCATGCAAATACAAATAATGAAAATGTTTTTTTAAGTTAAAAATACAAATAGTGTATGTGTAAATGCTTAATTTTTTATGGGGGTATATGGAAAATGGCCTGTATTTGATATAGCGCCTGTCAGACAAACCCAGCAAAATAAGTCATCCTTCAAAATTATGTCAGTGAAAATATGATGTCAATGAGAATGAGAAAGCATTAATTGTTTAGTAACAATCATTATGTTTGCGATATGGCGTTATGATTAGCTTTTCATATCTGTCTTTTTATTTATTAAGTTACAAAAATACAAGCACATTTGAGATATAGTAATTTTTGCAATGGTAAAAGTGCGTCCTTTAGTGGATAAACTAACAAGCTACAGTTGTTTGGACCGTACCATTTTTTCAAATCGTGCATCGCGAAAATTACAACTTTGAAGATGTTTTATCACAGATGTGTATTCGAAATTAACATTTTATGATTTAAAATACTTATTAACAGTATTTTTAGCTGTTTTCAGTCACGTTCAGTATTATCAAAGTAGATTCACCCATCGCTTTTCCTATAATAGTTGAGTCCTACTCGGTCTATTTTCCTTCGAGTTCGAGTCTGTCAATCGGTAGCCATGAGGTAAGCTAGTTTTTTTGGGGGGTAATTTTTTATTAAACGTTGTGACCTAAACGTGTTCATGTCTGACCTTTAAGATCACAGTTAAAATGTCGGGTGTCTTCTGTTTTCAGTAAAAGGAACAACTTTAATGAAGTCTTGATTTAGGCCTGTGTGCTGAAAGCTATTCATGCTAATTTAACCAGAACAATGTTTCAACATGTTGGTGAAACGCCGCTGAGATCAGCAGCTAGTCTTTTAATGTATTGTCAGTGGAATAAATCTAAGGTAACTTAAACAATTATGGTCACAGGTAAAGGAGATCTTGTCTATTGCATATTCGGATGAGAAATAAACAGACTAAACAAGTAACGTTCGTCTGAACACACCAGGATCACCAATCTGGATGATCTAACACCTTCACAAGCGTAAGGAGCTGAAGCAGAAGTCACTCGGATTGTTACTATTATTATTTTTGGTTTCGACAAACTACAGTAATGCTAGTTCGATCTTTTTTTTTCTCATGATTGATAGTGTTAGCAAAATTGATTGAGGTTAATTCAACTTCACATTTGTTACAAAGGGAACTGTAACCACGTAATGTAGCAGCGACACATGCTTAACATAATCTGATTTACAGATGCAGGTATTTTCTTAAACTTTACAGAAAATTTATAGTTCAGATTAAGGCGATTATTAAATTTTAGTGGAAGTTTTGTTCAATTTGATGACATCAAAACACAGTGTTGCATCATATTGGGGCATGCTGATGTAATCTCAGTTAAACCCTAATGTAGTTTGATTTCACAGGAAATCTTGAAGTTTTGCTACATCTGATACCTTTCCTTATTCCACCAGCCTGCTCAGGCTCCAGAAGCGCTTGGCGTCCAGCGTCCTGCGCTGTGGCAAGAAGAAGGTGTGGTTGGACCCAAATGAAACCAATGAGATTGCCAATGCAAACTCTCGTGAGTTGTTTTCTGTGTGATGCATCACTTGAAAATAAAAAAGAATTAATAATTGTATCTAATTTTCTGTCTTTGCTGAATTGTATTTGCGTTTCAGGTCAGCAGATCCGAAAACTGGTGAAGGATGGGTTGATTATCAGGAAACCAGTGACCGTTCATTCTCGCGCTCGCTGCCGCAAGAACACTGTGGCACGCCGCAAGGGACGCCACATGGGCTATGGTGAGAAATTGTTTACATCAAAAATGCTTAACTCCACATCTACATTTTTAAGTAGCAGTATTTACACTTTCCAGTTTCATAAATGATGGTGTTGACACTTAATATAATTTTGCTTAAAGATTTTGACAGCTACTGCACATTTGCAGAATTTAGGGCAATAGTTAAAATATGATCTTAATGCAAAACATTGACTGCGCACGCTTCTCTCTCAGGTAAAAGAAAGGGTACTGCCAATGCCCGTATGCCAGAAAAGCTGACATGGATGAGACGGATGAGAATCCTGCGTCGACTTCTTCGTCGCTACAGGGAGGCAAAGAAAATCGACAGGCACATGTAAGTGTGAACATCTGCATTAAATGCTATACCTTGTTTCAGGATTAAGATTTCCTGAGTTGCTTTGTGTCGTCCAGGTACCACAGTCTGTACCTGAAGGCCAAGGGGAATGTGTTTAAAAATAAGCGCATCCTGATGGAGCACATCCACAAACTGAAGGCTGATAAGGCTCGCAAGAAGCTTCTAGCGTAAGTCCATATATATATATATATATATATATATATATATATATATATATATATATATATATATAAGTGTGTGTGTGTGTGTTTTGGGGGGGGGCAACACATATTTAGACATTTTGGTTTACTGTGAATGGAACTTCTGTCCCCACCAGTGACCAGGCTGAGGCTCGTCGTACAAAGACAAAGGAGGCTCGAAAACGCAGAGAGGAGCGCCTCCAGGCCAAGAAAGAAGAGATCATAAAGAGCTTGACAAAGGAAGAAGAAGCAACAAAGAAATGACTTCAGTTTGTATAATAAGTCTGTCAGTTTCAGCTTTTTGTTGATAATAAATTAGATTAAAGAAATTGTAATTTGTTGTGATTTTTACTTCCTGACTGAGATAAGAGGATGAAGTACAGGAGTGCAGCTTTCACCCTGAGGTGTGATGGAATTGTATTAAAACATTTAAAAAAATGTGTTTCTGCACTAAACAAAACATGTAGTTTGACTAAAAAGGATGGCAGGATCAATCCAGGTGGCAGTAGAGCACCACATACAGTTACAATAAGATGCATTAACCATACTTTTTCTTGCTGATTTTCCACAGAGTGGATTAATGTCTGGATTTATGTGCAACAGCTGATCAGTGACATCTGCATATAAAATCTGCCCACCCGGTTTTACCCAGCGGTCAGACCGGCGTATCTCTGACTCTGATGCTCTGGTGTTGTGCACAGTTAACTCCGGTTGTAGCTAGATTGCTACCTCCGTTAGCTCAGCTCCCACCTCCGCATTAGCTTTGGGTTAGCTTGTAGCTAGTTTGACCGGGTGTTGTCAGTTGATCCCAGCCTTACAGCCCCACCCTCAGCTCCACCTCTCTTCCCTTTTGTGGAATTGTCTGGGCTTGACAGAACCTGTGACACGGTCAAAATGGCGGTGGTGGCCACCTCCCATTTTAGCACAAAAACTTATTATTGGAGACTATGGAAACCCATTGTCAAATATTTATATGTCGATGGGTTCTACTGGGCTCACCAGCAGTCTGCTGACCCCTGCTGGTTCTCAGTAATAACACCACTGTCCTGGGAAACACCTTCCCAACACTGACCTATAACTTTATTCATGTTTACATTCAGCCAAAACAAAATTAAGAAGATTGACAAAATTTTCACAAGTGTTGCTATGGCAATATTCACCAGACAGAAATGGATGGCCATTGCATATGGAAGTGTCTGATGATTGCTCCCAGGTATGAGGAATCCGCTAAATGGAACAACACTCACCTGTGGGTGGGGCTCAGGGAACTAACCCCAGCTCACCCGTAAAAAGAGAAAGGAATGAGGGGCGACATAGACCCCTGGGCTATGATCTCATCTGGTTTGTTGTCATGTGGCATCACTGATGGAGGAAACAAAAATACTCCATGTTCTCCACGGTAAAGAGCAGATACAAAGCAGATATCTTTCTGGTAAAACAAGAGGCTTCAGCACAGTGCAAGTCACCCAGGATGTTCAATAGCAGAAAGTTTATTTATTTATTTAACTTGTGTTTTTGGAGGACAAACCCCCTTGAGATGAGACATCTCATTTTCGAGGGGGTCCTCCTTTAGTACTACAGAGAAAATTAGGACAGCAAGTGACTCACAACAAATACCCATTTGCACATAGGCAAACACATAAAAGAAGTAGAAAACAATGATAATACAATATAAATTATTTTAAAAAGATAACTAAAAATAAACAAACAAAACCACAAACTAAAACAATAACACATAGCATTCTTCATATACATTCTCACCCCACAATGCTCTCTGATACCATTTTAAAGTAAATCAGGTTGTGTTTCTTTCTTACCAGTGGTAAATTAGGTGCAGCACATTATCAATTAAACACAATTACAATTAGGTAAAATGTGTAAATAAGCAGAGTTCTTAAATAAACAAAAAGATGTAATAGACCTTATCTCAACAGGGAGCTTATTCCAGTCCTGTGGAGCTTTAACTCTAAAAGCAAGTCTCCCAACTTCCTTCTTAAATGGAGGAACAACAGAAGAGATCTGAGTATTTGACCAGATACTATATGGACACTCAAAGGGCACTAAATTCATTTTAAATGCTCAGGAAAATTTAAAAAATATACATTTGAAGATAAAAAAATAACCAATGAAATCTTCGTCTTTCCTTTAAAGGAAGCCAGTTCAAACTTTCAAACATAGTACAGTGGTGAGTGTTAAAAGGACAACGCAGCACAAAACAACAAATACTGTTGTAAACAACATCTAGTGGATGGAGACAAGATGCAGTGGTATTTTGGTAAATTAAATCTGTGTAATCGAGGATTAGAAACAATAGTCGAGTCGCAATATGATTTCTCACTCTAAAAGCAGTTAATTGATTGATATAACGTTTTAAGTTGATAATTAACCTTACTAGTGACTGACTGAATGTAAGCTTTAAAAGAAAGATCAGATTCAAACCAAACTCCTAAATATTTAACTTTGTCTATGCATTTTAGATGCAAAGAGCCCAAAAAGTGTAAGTTGAGAGTTCCAATAATGACTGTAGCAGACTTATGTCTCAGAAAAAGAAGTGCATAAGATTTAGACTTGTTAAGGATAAATTGTTAAGCCAGTGCTGTAAGCTATCAAAACTAGACTGAAGGCACTCCTGAATTTCCAGTGTGGTGGACTTAGAACAATATAATATGGTATCATCAGCGTACAGATGCACAGCACACATGGAACAACTTAGATCATTGATAAAAACTGAAAAAAAGCAAAGGCCCAAGCGGAGATCCATGAGGAACACCCCTACAAATTCCTCGTAGTTTTGACTGAGCTCCTTTTAGTGAGACATATTGAAAATGATGGTAGAGATATGAGATGAACCAAAGTAACGAGGATCTAAAGCAGTGGGCCTCAATAAGTGGCCCGTAGCGGCCCCCTCTTTGTGGGCCTCTGAAACCCCCCCACCCACACACACACTCCAGCTGGGGAACGGGAGGTGCACTGTCACATAGAGGGCTGGTGTAATGAACAGCCAGCAGCAACGTGAGAGAAGCTAAGCACACGCATCGACAGTGAGTGGTCCTCGGACCATCATAATTGAGGACCCCTGATCTAGAGAAACCAATCACATTTCACTTATCCAAGAGCAAATAATGATCCACTAGATTGAAGGCTTTAGTAAAATCCAAGAAAATTGCACCAGAGTGTAGATTCTCATCCAAACCTTGAAATATACCATTAGTGAATTTAGTCAAAGCAGTAATAGTAGAGACATTTCTCCTGAATCAGATTGAAATGGAGAAAGTATGTTATTAATTTCTAAATAGCTATAAAGTTGATTGAAACCTATGTTTTCAAATATTTTAGCAACAGAATTTATTATTGCTATAGGTCTATAGTTGTTGATATCACAAGCATCTCCTCCCGTAAACAAAGGAAAAATCTTAGTGCATTTCCATACTAAAGGTACCGTAACAGTACAGAGTATTAATTGAGAGATGAAAAAGTTCAGCTAATGGAATAGCAAGCTCATGAGCAGCAACTTTAACAAATTTACTTTCAATTCCATCTGGACCAGGAGCACTTGAAAAAGACAGTGAACGTATTGTTTGTAAAACCTTAGGAGGAAAAATGTGTGAGAACGAAAACATACTAGAACAAGTCTGTGACAAAAAAACATGATCTAGTCGAGCAAGTAGCTAAGTTATAGTGAGACATTTTAGAGAAATGCAGACTAAAGCCCTCCACAATTTCATTAGGATTTTTAGTGAGGCTGCCATTTCTAAAATTACTCGTACTGCTATCAGACGTACCGCGTAGATTGTTAATTTTATTCCAAAACTGTTTAGTTCTTAAAATCATTGTTCAAGCAGTTCCTATTGTGGTCTGATTGACTACTTCATGGTGGAACTTCATAAATCTATAAAAGCAAAACACTTCTCATATAGAAGGATTCTCATGTAAGAAGAAACAGTGTGATCCATGTGTTTTATCCAGTGATATTTTTCAGTTCGTCATTATTGTCTGTTTGTGCCACATCAGAAACATTTAATGCTTTAGCTCTGATGCTCAACATGATAAAATAAATACTCTGACGTTTGTTCAAATGCTTGTTTTTGTTGTAAATTCAGAGTTAAAAATGTGAAAATCTATGAAAATTTACTGAATGAAAATAATTATGTGCATGTTCTATAGTGAGGGTTTAATACTGCAGACCCTTAAAGGGTTTCCCCTTTATAAGGAAATTAGCCTTTTGTCAACAATGCTGCTAAGGGATACTGTTTAATTTTAATTTTAATTTTTTTAGACTATTTAGTCCTAAATGAGGGAAAAAGTGTTGCTGTTTAAAATGTTTATATAATGTTGGTCGCTGAGAGGATAAAACAAAGAGTGGATAAGAGAGACTTCCTGTCATCCATTTCTGACCATGATTGATCCTTTTTATGTTATTTTGAAGTGAATGAAAAACTGAAATTAGTTGCGTAACACGGGTGTTATAAAAACAGCTCTGAGTCGTTCAGGCTCAACGTTTCATATTCAACAGCTTGGAATATCAGGTGAGATTTCTGGATGTTTCCATCAATATTTGCTGGACTATACACATTTATCACATCTCTGTTACATAGAGAACTTTGAAGGATACAAATAAGAAGAACACAAGGCCTGTGATTCTTGCTGATCCTGCTATTATTTGTGCATCATCTACTCATAACAACCATCAACATACATGATAACAACCAACACAATGGAGGTGTATACTATATTCCCATTGGTGCACAGAAATGTTAGCGGTTGAAGCCAAAGTGACAAAATGTCTGTTAGGAAAGGAAGGCAGGATCAGTCCAACAGGAGGCAGTAGAGCACCAAATACAGTCACAACGAGACACATTAAAATCTTATTCTTGCAGATTTTTCACATCTCTGCATAAAAGATCTTCACAACAGCAGTTTTTTTTAAATAAGCAAAAACGCCTGGTTATGAAATCCCATAAAAACCAAAGCCTAAAACAAACATTCTCTTTTGTATTACACACTTCAATTATTTATCTTAGACCATTCAGCAAAACCATTAAAGCTTTATTCTTGTGCTGTCCTGAAAACGTTGGCAACAATTGTTCTTTTTAAAAATACATTTTTCATGGAGCACTCTGAAAGGTATTTTTAAATATAAAGCTTGTGGGTTTTTAGAAGGCTGATGTTTGTGGCGCCTTACTCTTGTTTTATTTGGGACGTGAAGGGTTCATTTTTAATTAATCAGTTTCTATAGTGGCACAACAACAAGCCATGGAAGAGTCGAGCCCATTCTGCTAGAAAGCCATATATGCAACTTTTTCATATTTTTTAATTTTTGAGCCAGTATGTGCTA